GGGCAGTGACACAGAAATGTTAGCTGAGGTGTGTGGAGGGTGATGTGCGTCTGTGTGTCACAGTTTTACCAGGACAGGTTTACAGAGACAGGTTACAGAGACAACAAGCTACACATAGGTGAAAACAGAACGAGCCAGATAATGAGGCAGTAAAAGCTTCATTTACAAGAAGCCTCTACTTAGGTGAAAACAAGATTCTTCACTAGAGAAAAGTAAAACATTTAAAGATTACTATTATTAAGCACAGTTCAAGTTTATTAGAAAGAGAAATGAACAGATTTAAACTGAGGTTGAATGGAAAGACAGGCACCTAGAATAGGAAAGAGAAGATTGAAAGATGGATTTCAACTTCTCAACTTGCTTTGGTTGGCTTTACCCACGAAGCAAACCATGGGAAGGATTTACCAAGCAAAATTTCCAAAATATCCACATCCTTATATGTTCACGAAGGAAGAATAAGTTTGTAGCTCATTGGAAACTAAAGTCCATCTCTGGTGGAGGTCACCCAGGCCTGACTCTTGAGGTCAGCAGGAATGCCTGGGAAGACAGGTCCATGTGCAGAGGAGTCATGCTCAGGTCTAGGCTGGACTCACTTCCTGTGTCACACTGACAGGAGACAGACACTTGGAACAGTTCGATGCCAGTCACTGAAAGAAAAGTCAGGAGCTTTTGAAGTCACACACACTGAGTGTCTCACACTATACAAGGAAATAATGAAGAACAAATTCTGATTGGTGACTGGTAACCATGAAACTGAACAGACCTTCATGCTAAAAGCAGTCCCACTACAGAGAGCCAGCACAGCTCAGGAGTGTGTTCTCTGAATACCTCCTATGCTACTGGCAGACATGCAGCCGACCTCTGGGAATTGTCTCTGCCTCTGGCAGTACAAACTAGACCTGTTAAGAGCCCATAGCAAGAGGGCCAAGAGCCCCCAAATGGGTGCCTGTCTACCCTATTGCCAGGGTCTCAGGAACCAACTCCCATGCATCTACTGGGAGCCAAAGCTTAGATGCCTCTGTCCACCCTGTGGGAAGCACACAGCCAGTGAGAGACAGGGAAGCAGTAAAGGCATGAGAGTGGGAGGATCTCCAGTCCAAAGCCCAGGGAAGTGTCTAGAACTGTGAGTGCAGCTCCAGGGAAGGAGCAAACAGGAGGGAAAGTTTCCATAGAGAGGAACAACTGGCCTCTTCAGGTCTGTTCTCAGTAGGGACCTTCTCTGTGGTATCTGTCTGTGGGGAATCAGAACCAGTGTGATGGGCCTGTCCATTATTTCCTTTATGCTCTACAATTGAGTTCATGTCAGCACACAGGCCCAGGGCCTGGGTGTGCATACTACCTTCCTCTGATGAGGCAGGCACATTTAGAGCCTGGGTTTGAAATCTCTGGGGAGACAAGAACTCAGGTCACCTTCCTTCCTTACCTTTACTTCTTTGATAGCAGAAAGATCGCTACAGCTCCCACCACGAAAGCTCCAAGAACCAGGCCAATAAGAATGGCCATGAGGAAGAAGGTTGGCTGAGGAGGCTCTGAGGAGGGAAGGGAAGGAAGAGTGAGGACCCTGACCCTCGCTCTCCACCCTGATCCTGCTCAGGCTTTTCCTGACAACAGGCTCTGTGCTCACACCCGCCCTTACCCCATCTCAGAGTGAGGGGCTCAGGTAATGCCTCATGGTTAACATGACATGTGTATCTCAGCTCCTCTCCAGCAGGAACCACCACAGCTGCCCACTTCTGGAAGGTTCCATCCCCTGCAGGCCTGGTGTCCACCAGCTCCATTTCCTGGGTGTGGTTGTTCCCATCCCTCTGCCAGGTCAGGGAGATCTCAGCAGGGTAGAAGCCCAGGGCCCAGCACCTCAGGGTCACATTCCCTCCAGGTCTGACTTGGTGGCTCACATGTGCTTGGGGAGCATCTGAGAGCAACAATTGGAACAGTCAGGCATTTGCATTCGTCCTGGGGTGTGAGCAGAGCTCATGTGACCATCCCTGGACAGGAGGGGAGGGCTGCCTCAGGGAGGGGAGCAGATTCCAGTCAGAAGCCTAAAGGCCGGGTCTGGATGGTCTAATCCTGAATTTCATAATCGCCGTGGGGCAGCAGGGAGCAGGAGACTCGGGGTCTCCCTCTAGGCAGATAGACTTCTGGATCTGACTGGGCAGGGGGTGAGGGACTCAGCAACCCTGAAGTCAGACTCAGTGTCCCTGTGCATGGAGAGTGAACCAGCCTGAGAGAGGCCATGATTCTCAGATGGAAGGGAGCTGCTGCCTAATTGACACACTGAACTGTCCTGGGAGAGGGTGAATCCTCTGGAGAGTCCCTCTCTTTGAGTCAGGAAACCGAGGAACACTCTTTGCCTTTGATGCAAGACAGTGTAAGTATTCCAGCTGCTCCCTGCCTAGGAGGAGGCCTCAGGTGACAGGAGCTCCAAACCCAGAAACAGAAGGAGTTGGCAAGTGCCTGTCTTACCAGAGCGCAGCAATGTCTCCTTCCCAAGGTCCAGGCATCTAGTAAGAATTTCCACACAAGGCCCCTGCAGGTAAGTCCCCAGTTCTTCTGCCCTTCTTATATTGTTCCATTGTTTTCTTATGGTTTGAGCCGCCTCACCCTCTGCAGTCCAGGAGCTCAGGTCCTCATTCAGAGTGATGTAATCGTAGCCATAGTAGGCGAACCGATAGTGACCACGGAGGAAGCGCCCATCATTCCCCACACTGCAGCCTCTCACAACCTGTAGGGTGTGATATTCTTCCCCACCCCATCAGCTACCTGTCACTGGGCTGCTTCCCTGCCTCCAGGAATTTTGTCCCAGTCTAACCCCCTAGCCAGGCGCAGTCTGTGGCTCTCCCAGGTCGAAGGTCTCCAGAGCCCCCTTCCCCTATGGCCAAACCATGCACCTGGGGATTAGAGTGGAGCTCAGTGGAGCAGACCATGAAGGTATGGAGGGGATGTGACCTCAGAGCTGGGATCACTCACCGTTCTTGCTGTGCTTGTAGTAGTTCATCATCAATCGAAGATACTTTCGGTTAAAGTGTGAGTCGAGCAAGGCTTCCTCTGTCTCTTTCTCCCAGTATTTATATGATTCCTGCGCCATCCAAGGAGCCCGGGGTTGCATGACTGCAGTCAATGCTTTGCTGTCGAATGCCTCAAACGGTGTGGTGTCCACGTAGATGACCCTGACGAACCGGGGCTCCCCGAAATCTGGTCCATAAATCAGCGTGTCGAAAATCTGCAGCCAGTGAGAACCTGGGGGTGGTGTGCACGGAGACCCTGACTCTTCTGCCTGGACCCAGGGCAGGTTGGTGGGATGGGAAGGGAGCAGAGGGGTAGAGGAGGCCCTCTGGACCTGAGATGAAGGAGGGGGTCAGGGGTCAACCAGCTGGGGGAGCTGGGAGGGTCTAATTATGGGAGGGAGAAGATGCAGAGGTGAGGATTCCCAGAGCTGCACCTTGCTCCCCAAAAGGCCATTTCGCTCCAGGCCCAGCAAGTACCTGTGCAATTCTGGGTCAGGACCAAGGCCACGAGCAGCAGGAGGAGGGCACAGGGTCCAGGCGTCCTCATTCTCCAAGATGAGTCGAGTCTCAGTCAGCAGTGGCCTCTCTTCACTTCATAACCCTGATGTGGATGAGGCTGATTGGCTTCTCTGAGATTTCCCAAAGGTAGTGACATGGACCAGGTGGGTTGGGTCTTGGAGAGATGACCTCCTGGGAAAGAAATCTCTAGGGCCTCCTCTCCCACCTCAGACCCAGGTCCTTAGCCAGGCATTTTGGCATCAATGTTTGGGCATAAGCTGCATTTCCTTGATCCATGTCCTCCTGGTCCTGGTCACCGCATCCTTGAGTCTTAGTCTGAGAGACGCTCAGCAAGTCAGCGTCTCTCAAGCGTTTAGATGTAAGAATCTCTACACACGCTTAGACCTTGTGTAGCCTTCCATGCTGACTGTACTCTTGTAGGTTTTGTCAATCCACAGTCATCATGTTAGGAACTGGAGGCTTTGAGAGTTTTGATTCAATGTGGATATTAATAACTAATTGCAAGTAAGCCGAAGAAAAAAGAGAAAGAACTGTTTTCCAAAACGAAATGGTGCTGTCAAAAGAGCTTTTTGGATAGTCAACATTTCTGGGAGTCCTTATCTTCATCTTCCCCACTACACATCACAAGGATTTTTAACATTTTTCTTTCATTTGAAACGGAGGAAAATGTAGTTTTCCAGACGTGTTGTAGGAGAAACAATTTCAAGACTCATTTTTATATGTATGTATTTTTGTATGTGTCTGTGTGTATGCAAGGAGTGTGTTCTCATGGGATCCCAGAAGGAGGAGTAGGAAAGCCTGGAGCTGGAGTTACAGGAACTTGTGAACTGCTAGACTCAAGTGCTGGGAAATCAGTTCTGGTCTTCTCCAGAGCAGCCGGGGCTCTTCCCATCACTCCAGGCCCAGGAGAAAAATTTCATTAACATCTTCAAATAATTTCAGTTTTCTTTTTGAGACAGGGTCTCAGCATGTGCCCTGGTTGTCCTGGAAATGGCTATGTAGACCAGGCTGACCTAGAATTCAGACATCCACCTGCTTCTGGCTCCAGATTGCTGACCTAAAGGAATTTGCCATCCACATGGGCTAATTGTAAGTTTTGCTCATTGATAAGCCACCAAATGGTCACAGGTGGTACTTCCTCCAGATTGTTCACACTGTGGACTTGAAACATCATTGAGTCCTTCACTGTCTGCTGCATCCATATGCATGAGAGAGTTATGTGCGCTGAATGTTTTGCTAATAAATGTTATTTTAAGGTAGGATGTTCTTTGACCAACTCCTTAAAAGAAAATTATAAAAACTCAGTTGTTAACGTGGCCACACATTTCCATAGAGAACTTTGGAAGCATTGAGAAGCCCTGAGTTGGCGGTGGAGAGCTCCAGTGCTCAAAATCACCAATGCTGTCTTGAGTTTGTGTGCAGCTCTATGGTAAATACTCTCATGTGGGTTGTGGCAGTTCATCCCGAAGGTGTCAGGGACTGAGAGTTTTGAGACGTTTACTTCACTGAAGATAATGTCAGATAACTGCGACCCGAGGTCAAAGTTGGGACTTGGGGACCCTCGGGCCATGATGATGGATATTCTTGGTTGTCAAATGAACCACATCAGAAATTAGCTGTCCCCAAGAGGACTGGGGCCACTGAGTGCTTTTCCTAATAAACTCTTGAAGTGGGAGGACCTACTTTTTGACTTAACTCTTTATTGATTCTTCGTAAACTGCACATCATGCAGCCCAATCCCACTCATCTCCCTGTCTCCTTGCCCGACTTCCGCCCTTCCAACATCCCTCAAAAGGAAAAAAGCAAAAGCCCATCCCACGTGGAAGCTGTAGTGTGTCACACTGTGTGCTGGGACTCTACATTGCATGTGTGGCCGTCAGCAGGTGGTTAGGGCCAGAGACCCAGCATTTCCGCTGTTTCTCCAGGTCATTCTGCTCCAGGCAGCAAGTGGCACAATGCTTAGGAACGGGTAATGCATGCAGTGCTTGAAGCAAACCACTAATACATTGAAATAGATCAATGCATCAGTGTCTCATAATTGCTCTTTTTACCTTAATCTTCCCCAACAACAGTCTAAAGTCCACTTCCAGGATCTCCATTGCCCCCTTCTGGCCACCATCGGCACTGCATGCACATGATTCACCCATGTACAAGCAGGAAAATATCCATACACAGGCGCGCGCACACACACACACACACACACAACATGAAAAAAGAAAAAAAATTAAAAGATGTCAGGCGCTTACTAAGGCTTCTCCTGGGGTCTCATAAAAGACAGGTATTTAATTCATCCTATGAGCTATAGAATGAGTTGTGGTACAGAATGAAAGCTTATAGGTTACAAACAAGGGCAAGGGGCTGAGATGTAGTTCACTTTACAGTGTTTGTTCAATATGCAGAAAGTCCTGGATTTGATCCCCAGAGAGCACAAACCAGCTGTGGGATCATGTCTATACTCCTAGCAGTCAGGACTGACTATTGTGTAGTGAGTTTGGGGGACACAGAAACTTTGTCTCATTTAAACCAAACTGAGTGATTGGAGTGGAGATAAGTCAGTGATTAAGGACACTTGGTAATCTTCCAGATTTGTCATGAGAGCCAGCCAGATTCCTGAAGGATGCTTTGCCATCTTAGATCCTAGTGTACAGATCTGCAAAAATCTTGAATAACGTATGAATGAAAAAATACTTTTGCCTAAAGAAGATAATCAAGAAAGCAGACACGGGGTATGATGATCAATCCTCATTTAGAAAGACAAATGAGATATGCATTGAACGTATGACAGGAGTCTACCGCAGAAAGCATCTGAAAGACTCTACCTAGCAGTGTTCCAAAGTAGATACTAGACTCATAACCAAACCCTTGGCAGAGTGCAGGGAATCATATGAAAGAAGGGGAGTTTGATGTGGAAAGGATAGGAGCTCCACAAGGACCAAACATATCTGGGCACAGGGTCTTTTCTGAGATGGACACTCAACCAAAGACCATGAGAGGATAAAACCTAGAACCTCTGCTCGGATGTGACCCGTGATAGCTCAGTAATCAATTGGTTTCCCATAGTAAGGGGAACAAGGACTATTTCTAACAGGAACTCAATGACTGGCTCTTTGACCTCCCCACCTCCCAAGGGAGGAGCAGTACTGTTAGGCCACAGAGGAGGACTTTGCAGCCAGTTCTGAAAATACCTGACAAAACGGAGTCATATGAAAGGGGAGGAGGTCCTCCCCTATCAGTGGACTTGGAAAGGGGCAGGGAGGAGATGAGGGAGGGAGGGTGGGATTGGGGAGGGAATGAGGGATACAGCTGGGATACAGAATTAACAAAATGTAACTAATGAGAAAAATTAAATTTAAAAAAATAATAATACTAAAAGTATAAAAGATGAATGTTAAAAAATACTTTTGGAGATTAATAGTGAAATTTGAGCTGATTTATTCTGACACTGAAATTGACGTTCAGGAGAGTAGTTGCATTCAGAAAATCAGTTGCTTTTCTTGTTGGTACTACAAACTACTTGATGAGAACAACCTAAGAAAAAAGGTTTATGTTGGCTCACAGTTGGAAGGAACGACCTGCCATGCAGAGGAGGGAGGATGAGAAGCAGCTCCAGGTGACAGGCAGCAGGATGCAAGGCTGCTTGCTCCCACCTCAGCAGAATCTGCTTTAAAACCCAGTTGTGTTGGAAAAATGTTTCTGTTTTAATTCCAGGTGTGGAATATGTGGCTGTTTCAGATTATCCAAGTGGCTAACTATCATTTCTCTCATGCTCTGGTAGGGGACAGATTTTGCCAGCTGAGGACAGTTTACCTTTGGAAAACTGGGGACTCTTGAGAAGGGAGTTAGATGCCAGAACCCCAGTGGAAGTGGCTGCAGCTCCCCTTCTGCTCCCCATGCGGCTGCCTCTGCTGCTGCCCCTGCTGCTTTCTGGGGATGATTTTGTTGGATGTTGTTTGTTGCTGTTTGCTGGTTGGAGATATCCTGATGATGAAGATCTAATTTACCCCAAGGAACTCAACAGCCCTAATGAGCATCAAGTGATCTAACAAGATTGACACCCCTTTCCCATCTGTCTCTCTTTCTCTCCCAACCTCTCTTGGGAGGTTGGAAGCTATAGAGGTGATAGAGAGAGGTAGGAAAAGAACCCAATAAAGCAAAAATCCCAGCTTCACAGGGCTTCTCACTTTCTGGGAATTACCGAACAAGGGTTTTTCATGCTGAGATGGATGAGAAGTGTCCATCTCTCTCTGGACATGGGGCAGGTGTTGAGCATGGTTAAAGCACTGATAAACTCTGAAATCAGGGTTAACATTAATGAGTTCCCTACGTTTCTATTCTGAGTACTCTTTCTTGTGCTAGTTTCCCTGGAATAATCAAGACACTGAGAGTGGGAAATCTGACTACGTAATCAGCAGAGTTTGGACTCTCCTTTCCTGTTGGAGGCACCTGGAGCAAAGTGATTGTTCTAGCTGGTGCGATAGAACACTTGAACAAAAAGCAACTTCTATGCCTAAGGCTCAGGAAGCATTTGGAAGGGAGAAGGGGTGGAAAGATTGTAAGAGACAAGATGTTTGCTGTGATTTTGTGTCTCTTAGGAACATCAGAAGCTATACCCATAAACTGCCACCACATACTCCCCAAGCATGAGCTGAGTAAGGACAATACCTAGAGACATGCCAAAGTGAACAGAGAAGAGTCCACAGGGTCTCAACCCTACACTAAGACCTGCAGACAGCTAAGGAGCTGGGAGTGGGAGGAAGGTCTTCCTCAGAGAAGAGCCCGTCAATTCGTTATCCAACACCACATGGTCGTCCTTGACAAACGTGCATACAAGTAATGTGACACAGACTGAGCAGGTTACGTTTAGGAGTGTGTGTGTGTGTGTGTGCGCACTCTTGTGTGTATGCCCAAAATAACACACATCACCCTCCACACACCTCAGCTAACATTTCTGTGTCACTGCCC